GGAGACTTCAATACCGACATTCATAAACTGGATGCATACTCAAATTTCCGCAATATGGGCTGTCAGGAAATGTTCCAGTTTCACCGACAAGCATTTGGTTTTGAACTTCCTCCAACATGTAAGGGAGCCACACGGTACGACTCCATGATTTTCCATCCCTCCTTGGTCAAATATATCCATCGAATTGACATTGGACCCGAACATCAGTTTGCAGACCATTGTGCTGTCCATGTTCAGTTCAACGTTCCCACTTATCCAGTAGACGCTCGATCATGGTTCGTGCCGAAGTCTTGGACTTTATTTCCGCTCGATCCAGATACCTTCGCTAGCCAGTACAGACAAGTTCGATGCTCCACGGGTGATCAGTATTTTACTGACCCGGCCGACTGCCTAGCACAATGGTCCCTCCGGGTGGAAAAGGCTGTTCATAAGACTCTTGGTCTCCAGAAAGCAGCCGATCCCTTGCAACACGAGCAAGGATTCTTGCCACAAACGTTCCGTGGTCGATGTGCACAACCGAAACTCATCCGGCATAGTCATGCACGTGCCCCAAAGAGAGATATTACTGGCCAATACGAGCCACCGGTCGAAGTCACGTCCCTTAAGAGCCGACAGAAAATCCGACAGGTTCGTCGTCTTCGTTCGCTTGAGCGCCTTTTTAAGAAATACGATCTTGTGACACTGCGTGCTCCGCCGACAGATAACGCCTCACCAGTCTCTGAACTGCGACACTTGTGGCAAGTCATTTACTCTGCCAACGGTTACGGCAGATCCTGGGCACATTGGCTCCTCCAGTTCGAGTCTGTTATGGTAGTCCCGCAGGACCTTCCAAACTATGATCAGATTTACTGCTTCCGTCAAATCACTCAGTATGATGCCGACTTATATTGCCAGCATGAAGCCAAATTGCGGCGACAATCTCGACAGCATGCCTTGAACCTAGACATACAATACAAATCGAGTTCACAGTTTTACAAACGACTTAAAGATCATGAAGCCAAAGTTTTGCCAGGTTTTCCTGTCCGCATTACGGCACAAGCCACACTCTGCCGATCCATCAAGGGACAAGTATCCCTGATAATCCATCAGCCAATGACCTTTCGCTTATATGCGGCAGCCACCTTTGGCGACGCCCGGATTCGGATCATGGAACAGCATGATTCTCGCATCATTTGCCATATCCTACATGGGCAAATTCCCACACATGGCGATCTCGTCCAAGAGGTCTTCGCTTTCGAGGTTACTCAAATGGCAGCTCCATTCGAACAATACTGGTCCCAATTCTGGAATCGTGATTCACCCCACGAGGAATGCTCTGACCACCCATGGGAACAGACCATTCAATCCCTTTGTAGTCGCATCCCGCCCAGTACACCGTTGCAAGTCCTTTGGGATAACCCCCGGATTTTGCAACAAACTATCCAACGTCTTAAACCATTTAAAGCCGTTGGTATCGATGGCTGGAGAGCTGAGGAACTGCAATCACTTCCGTCTGAAGCCGTTGAAGACCTTGCTGGCATTCTGGCCATCATTTGGCCACAAGGGCTGCCCGCACACCATCTAATTGCTCGAGTTGTCTTATTGGCCAAACGCCAGCCCCCCACGGCTATTACAGACGGTCGTCCGATTACCATTCTTGGTTATTTAAGTCGGCTCACGTCCAAACTTGTCGCTGATCAGTTGTTAAATCAATGGGCTTCTACCTGGCCGAGTGCCATCTCAGGCGGTCTGCCCTTTAGAGGCGTCCAAGACATAACATTCATGCAGCAGTTTCAAATTGAGGCAGCTAAGACACGTTCACTTCCATGGCGAGGTTTTACCCTCGACTTGATTAAAGCATTTAATTTACTCCCCCGCCGGGTTATCTATCATCTCCTGGTTCAACACGGTGCACCTCCTCAATCAATAACCTTCTGGTTTCAGAACCTTCGTAATATGACACGGAGACTTCAAGTTCGTCAGGCTGTCGGACCGGCAATTCATATGACTACGGGTGTGCCAGAGGGAGATAGTATGTCCGTCTGTGCTATGTTGGTAGTCTCGTCAACGTTCTACTGGACCCTTCAGACACCCACAGTCTTTCCGTATGCTTACGCCGATAACTGGTCTTACCTCACCACAAATCAACGTGACAATATCTTGACCTTCCAGAAAATTAAACACCTTGTGGAAGCATTGCGTATGCAGATTGATTTTACTAAATCGTGGGCCTGGGGAGCTACCTTGGATGCACGCCACGACTGGCAGACATTCCTGCTTCATGAATTTCCTGATGACAATCCGGTCAAGATCCTCAATTCCACTAAAGATCTCGGTTGTATGACCCACTATACGCACCACATCACCCTAGGACATCTTAAGACAAAAATGGCAAGTGCAGTCCAACGATGCCGACGCATTCGATGGTTCCAATTGGACATCACCCACAAAGCTCGACTCATCCAGACAGCCATCTGGCCACATGCTTTCTATGGGGCCGAAACACAGATTGTTGGCGACAAACATTTCAGAACACTCCGTCGGGAGGCTACCAAAGCGCTCATCGGCCCCGAAGCACAAATCTCAAGCTGGCTTGCAGTCCATCTTTTCAGTCCCCAATTACAGGACCCCTTGCTTTATGTCATCACAAATGCCTTGGCATTCTTGCGTCGCATGTTCCATGTTAACCCTGCCTTAGCCAATCAGTTTCTGCAAGCAGTCCTACATCACGATGGCCCTGCAGTTGGCCCCGCTGGGGCCCTCGCTCGCTATCTTAATCACGTTGGCTGGTCATTGGACTCCGATGGTCGTCTTGCTCTGGACGGGTGTTTGTCGGTTTCCATTCGGTATGATGCATTGAAGTACATCCGACAACAATTGCGTTTAGCTTGGGCCTATCAAATTAATCGTAATATTTGTCACCGTAAAGGAGTTCAAGAGTATCCATTTGACTTTGTGATTCTGTCACGAGTTCTGCGTACATTACCGATAGCTTCGGTTCGATTAATTGCATATAATCTCACTGGAGGGTATCAAGTTGGGGCCGTCAAAGCCTTATGGTCAGCTACTACTGATGCACACTGCCCATATTGCGATCAAATCGATACACATACACATCAGCAACTTGAATGCCCGGCTTTCCAGGAGATTCGCAATCAGCATCCACAGGCAGTGACTTATCTAACTCATCACCCACAGAAGCAATGGATTCCCCTACCGGGAACTTTGCCGCACATGGCAGAGTTGCGTCAATTCTTAATGGCACGTGGTCAAGACACTGGACATACCCATATTGGGCAGGAAGCAGATGTCCTCTACTTTTATACAGACGGATCGGCAGATACACCTTTACATCCGGAAACTCGCAGGGCTGCGTGGTCAGTCATTCAGTTTCGGCCAGATTCACTAACAACCCCGTTCCTTACCATTAAAATTCAACGTGTACGGGGGCCCCAATCTATCGCCCGGGCAGAACTTGCGGCAGTCACCTGGATAATTCAACAGGCTACACAAAATCATTGGCCTCACCAAATAGTTATTACGACCGACTCGCAGTATGTCATTAATACAATTCATCAGATTACCCAACGAAACAGCTTCCCTGCGTGGCATCATCTTGCCAATGCAGACCTGCTCCAGATTATTGCACAGTCATGGTCTCCGTCCAAATTTGTGCTTCGTAAAGTCCGTTCACACCAAAATATACATGATGTGCCTCCGGGCCCCGCCAGAGATGATGTTATGGGAAATTCATGGGCAGACCATGCAGCTGTTCAAGCTCGTAAAACGGACCACGAGATTGTCGACTCACTATTCGAACAGGCTCGGGTTTGGCACAATGACCAGTTCGTCCAAACTAAGGTCATTCTGAAGTACCTTGCCGCACTCAACCAGGCTCATGCTACCCTTAAGCAAGGTCAGAGCCCACAGACCTCTCGTGCTACTCATCATGATCCTACAGCAGATTGGGGCACCCTTTTTCGTCAGCGCGAATTGTATGAGATTACTTCGGAACCCATATGCTTGACCCCGACAGTTCACCCAGCCTTCATTACTGCATGCGTCTGGGGTAACCAATATGCTGATTTAGTGTTGAGATTCTGCGCTAGTCTGAAATGGCCGAATCCCCATATTTCCCCCTCTGATGAAGTGGGAGCATCAGGCATTACTTGGCACGAATTAGCCATCGCATTCATCGTTAATACTGGTTTGCAGTTTCCCACGTGGATTCGCAAAGATGGTCAGGCTAGGGCACAACCCGTTCATTGGCAAGATCCAGCCGTACTAGCCCTCCCCATCACGCGTCGTTCTTTACGAGAGCAGGCTGAAGCTTTTCGTACCATTGTCATCTATCTTCAAGGTTATGCCACCACACCTCTGGTTCCAAAATACTATAAAACTGGATCATCCAGTTTAGCACAAGTGGGATGGGGAAGATCTTATACAGGTGGTTTTGCCTCTCGTCCGGAAATCCCTAATTCCGGTGCAGTGCAACAAACACTGGTCCTTTATGCCGACAACTTACATTGTAAGCCTCCTTACCACCCAGACGGCTTGGTGCCCATGCGTTACGCGAAAGCATATTTTCCCATTGTTCCAGCTCAACCACTCACATTCGAACAGAAGTTCAAATATAGACGCAATCTTCGAAAAGTATGGAATAAAAATGGAGATCTTGACTCCGTTGTGCTTCCAGCACCTAATTAGGAATTTATCACCGAGACTTCTACGAGCAGCGCGGATATTCGGTTTCACGTAGTTAGTCGTCTCACATGATAGCCTTTTTTTGCACCGTCATTATCCGACAAGACGATATTGACCCCACTCCCGGACACCCACCACCATGGTGTAGGGTCGCAGGAAGCGTGTCGACAGCGAGCGCAAGTTGTGTGAGTAGCGATGCCAGGAGCCCCTAGTAGCGTCCTTGCTCCTAGTAGTAAGGCCAGGAGCCCCTAGCTGCACAAGTCCCTCTTTCGGAAAACCGTTCATTTTGGAGAACCCTCCATGCGGGCAGTCGGGGCCTGGGATCGAGCGGCACGATGTTGCCGGTGCTCAAGTGAATAGGCCTTCGATGGAGTCACAAGAAGATGGTTTACAAGGAAAACGCGTCTGATGAGAGGCATGCATGGCACGTTGGGTCAATGCATGGCACGTGGGTCCTGAACCTAAACTGCTTGCCTTTCCATCTCTCTTGTACAGAAAACAAACTGCACCAGACCTGCATGAGCTGTGACAGCTCTCCACCAGCCTGCATGTTGGCTCCAACAAAAGAAAGGACTCGTATGGACCCTCTCAATTGGTGAGCAACGAGTCCGATGAGGGAGATCACGTGCTTCGTTTTTGTTCAGTCCAGCTCTCATCTACTCAAGTGCTCGAGTGAAGCTTCCCCAAACTCTTCAAGTGCCTGCCCCTGTTGTGACTCCGACTACTTCACAGCTTCTGTAGCTTCAGCAGCTCGCTCAAAACCAAAACACAAGGCTCCGCGCATTTATCAGAAGCATGTCGTCCAGCTCCAGCATCTCTCCACCGAAGCGCAAAGATGCTGCGTTGTAACCTGAAGGTAAAAAGGGCTCCAATCTGTTTCTTGTTCCATTCCGTTTGGGCCTATTATGAAACAGCCAATAACTGACATCATGCGTGGTGTCTTTTTGTGGAACCCTGCTGCACTTCAACTTTTTTGAACCAGCACCTAACAAGGCCAAGGCACCGTCGAGCACGCCCCACATTTGGAAGAACCTCGAGCACGTCTTCACCAGAGAGCATGAAGAATAATTGGCAAAAAGGTCAAAAAGGATCAAAAAAGGCTGAAGGCTGCTGAAGTTAAGATTGGCAACAATTGCTTACATAAGTCCGTCTTCCTCGGGCCCTGGCGCGTAGCGAACCTGCTTCCAGTAGGGATCTTCAGGTTCTTCCGCAAAAATATGATACCTGAATCTGATTCATTGCTGGAGGGCTCCGTTTTCTCTTCTCCAGATGTTAATTCCATGCAAGGTCAGGTTATAAAAGCTAAGGAAGGGTCTCCATGTTCGTCATAGAACGGGCATATGCCAACCTGCGAGGTACATGGCAAAAGTTTGATGGTCTTTGGCTCATGTTCACATCCAACTCTAAAGAAAACTGCCAAGACGGGGCAAGAGAACCGCCCGTCTTTTGCAAAGAATCTGAAGCAAACGCCCATCATGAGAACTTGGGCCAAATCATCGATGAATCTTTTGAACAGTCCCTTGCTCAAGCTGGCCAGGGTGGCTGATTCTGAAAAAGCTTTCTGATGGCTGGCAATGCATTGGCCTAAAGCGCCCAAATAACCAGGCTAGGCGGCTAGGTCATCTAGAGCTGACCCATCTGTCTTCTGGTTCCTTCTCCACCATGCAACTCGATCGCTTCTAATGCCGTTTGCAGGTGAGCCAAATCGTGTACTAAGGCGTTGACTGTCTTGTCCTTGAGGAGAAGAAGCCTGATGAAAGAAAAAAGCAAAACAAACACTATTAAAAAAACAAAAAGAAGAACGCCCTGGTTTGGAATCAAGGCAAACAAGGCAAAAGGCGTCTGTGACAGTTTCTAGCTCGACGCACAGTCGTACCGAGAAGCTTTTGGCTGTTGGAGTAGAATTCCGAAATCCTCACGCACGTCAGCAAACCTTCGATGTAGCCCGCTGCCTGGGCGGAGATTGTGAGTGGTGCAGGCAAATGTCAAGTTGTAGGGAGGACAAAGCGGACAAATGTCCAAGAGCTCAGTCTGCATAGCAATCGAGTATACAATCAAAATTACCGGGTGCGAGACATACATCTTCACATCGTTTGCCATGTTCTGGTCATCGGCTGTCTGCACCTGCAGCTCTGACCTAAAGGCACACCAATCAAGCGGAGCAAATCATTCACAGTCAACAAAACAAGCTTCTGTTTTGTGGAAAAGTGTTTGAAGCGGCAAATGGATATAGATATTAATATAAGCTTATTTACACCTCGGCACCGGGCCAGCCAGATCGTTGAATATCATCTGAAAACTTTCCCCAGGCCACTCCGCTTTGAGGCCTGGGCGCAAATGTCGCTGATTGACTCTGTTACCTACCCCGTTGCTAGCATGGCCGGCCTGGCCTTACAAAAAGAACTATATACCTCTCACTACTTCAAAGACACAACGCTAAACAACGCTTCCTTTCGCAAACTAATCCTGTCTTCTACAGGCTGAGCCGAGCGCGACATGCCTTCTTCCACCACCAATGCTTGGACTGTCTTGTCGAAAACCATGGTCAAGCCCTGCTTGGAAGCAGAACTTCACAGATTGTCTGGCAAAAATAAGGCATCCTGGACTGGTCAATCTATATATTTCCACTTTCAACTTCATTGAAACTATTTCACAGCACCTGCTCTTCTTTCAGGTCAGACCTCACATCCACAGTGCTTTCATGTGAAAGTTGGTAACCAAAATGATTAAATGATCAAGATATAATATATATATATATATATCATTCTAATATCTATCTCATCTGCTAAGATCTGCTATAAATCCTTGAGACATCTCTCAGCATCCCACACATCAAACTCATATTTCACAGGAAAGAGCGGCTGATGGCTCCTGGAAAGAGACGACTCATTCGACGTCCTCACACAAAAATCAGTGGCCTTCAGGGCTCAATATGTTCCTTCTAAACAATTCAGAAGGCACAGCTTGCATATAAAGCTACCTGCACAACCTGCACAAGTTTCTTAAAGATTGTCACATTCACAATCAACTGCTGCTGAAACAAATGGGACCTTTGACCTTTGTAGTTATTGGACCAAAACTTCGGTTCATCACAAGCAACTGTCTTCCGACCTCCAGTTGCCATGTCCAGAAGCCGCCTGAGATGCACCAACACTTCTACTGGAGTCAGTGGCATTTCGAAAGTACCTCATGAGTATAGTTTCTTAGTGGCTATGGATCCCCACTGAAAGGCGGCCCCGGCTGTCTAAATGAAGGCGCTGTTGGCTTTCAACCTGAGCAAATCAGGGATCAACAAGTCATGCTGCGCACACAAAGCCTCGCGCACATACAAAGCCTCGTCAAGAGTGCCATGGATCTTTTGCTGCAAAGCTTTCATGTGACACGCACGACTACAGGAGCTAAGTCTAAACATTGATCGCTGCGTACAAGAACTCGCACCCCCCAGGAGTCTTGCGACACTCCCCCTTCACCGATGAAGGAAGCGACAGCTCTCACCATAGCTGCACGCACCCCGGCGGTAGTCCCGGCAAAGTTCATCACCTTTGCCCTTACCCTTGCCTTTGCCCTTGCCTTTGTCATGCATACTGTAGCTGCCGCGAGACTCATCCGTGAGCATACCAGGAGAGCCGGCTTCTTCCACGCAAAGCTGACACAAACACCAAAGAATGATGGATATGCGACCCTTCCCATCTTGCTCTTCGTCTGGCAATGCATTAATTCCATGCTGCCAAGTGATGTTCCTGAATGCAAAGGTCTGTGGATGAATCACAACGATGGGTCGTTGCAACCAACCTGGGTCTTTCGAGCCTACCCATAGGATTAAGTGCAACCGAGAAAAAAGGACCCAAGAAAGCCTTGCAAGCGTCGCATCTCTGCCAAAGTAGAACAACATGCCGTTCTTCTGGGGCACATAAATCAGTTCGCCAGTCTTAGCATGACGGAAAGCCAACTCACGCGCAGCACCGAATGAGATCCCGATTGTGCAGTTCTGATTGGCCGCCCTCTGTTCATTGAAGGCTGCCTCGCTCAAAGCGCGGCCGATACAATCAAATCGCGAAAATCCAAGGTCCAAAAAAAAGAAACATTGCAAAAGCTGTTGGTTTACATTCAAGCAGTGGTATGTTTTCTGAATGGTTCTGTCAGTTTGATGCTCCAGGACAACTCTCAAACATACGGTTTTGTCCTCCAGCGCTTCACTTCTTTGTGTTCTTGGGTCAAAAAGAATCGAACGATACGCGGCCGCTGGTGGAGGCTGAGCAGCAGAGTCATGATGAAAAGGCTTCCAGTCAGATCCATCCCTGTACCAATTGAAACGTGTGCCACGATTGCGATCCGCAGCTTTAAAGTAATCGCCTGATCGGTCAGTTGGATCATGTCTACCTAAACAGCTTGCCGAACACTCAACATCTGCAGAATGGTCGGAAGGCCAGAAACAACACATCTGCAAGATCATGACGAGCTGCATATTTTCTCAAGGACCTTCAGGCAAAGACTTTGGTTATCAGACGAAGACGTTCATCTTCTGAACTTCCCAAGCCAACAAAAAGCACATCAATTGCACCGTGCCTCATTGTAGGTGGTAGAGCCCGTAGGATTCTGACTAAGCAAGTGCGCGCCCTCATGCCAAGAGATCCACTCCGCCTGAGTCAATGCGTGTCCTGTCTTTTCAAGGAGGGTTTCAAGAAGGGTGCACATGACTGCAGATTTTCTGGTTGGGCTGGACCGGACCCCTGTTCAAGTCCAGTCAGGAATGTGCAAATCTGAAACATGTGAGATGAAATTGTTCTTGCACAGGTTCCCAGCCTTCCGATCACCATTGGCTTGACTCTGGCGCATCTCCTGCAGCAAAACACTTTGAAGCTCGCTTATGATGAAGAAAAATATCATGCTTAAGTAGCCCAGCCTTGATGAGAGCATAATACGTGTCCCAATCATCTTCTTTACAGAAGAACTCTGGTACAATAACGACATCATCATGCTTCACAGGAGCAGCATAGCGCTTCGATGCAGGTACCTGTGGCAAACTCTTTAGATTGGACCAAGAGAGATAGGAAGGCCTTCGACACTGCAACGTCTGTTCTATCCTTCTGCATCGAACTATAGTTGGTCACCAAGGTACCGTGATCACTCGCATTGATGGCCTCGCTGGCCAAGAGACCACCTGCATGGTCTCGTTGCACTTTTCTTTCTCGTCTCCAGCTTCGTGAGAAAATCTGCAGTTGTCTCCATAGGTGCACCGCCCAAAGCGAAAGTCTCTGCAGGGGCCCTCCTGCGACCAAAACCCATCAAAGAAACAAGGAAACTCTTGTCCAGCGAGAAGAGAGGCACCCGTGTTCTGTGAAATGCAAGTTCCACCACAAGCTACACAATCATCAAGCATTGTTGAGGTTTTAAAGTGTAACCACTGTTGAACCAATTAAGCCTTCAGTCTCAAAAGGTGCCTTAAAAAGACCGGGCCTTTGTGGCAATGGACACAGTCTCGGCCAAGTGGTCTTCCTCTGCTTTGCTACTGGTGCCCCAGACAGAAATCAACACGTTCATGCCCTCAGGAACCTTTGACTCGCCGGCATACCATTTGGTATCGATGTCACATCCCAACAACGTCAAGGTGCCATTGCACTGTGGGAAGTACACCACTTCACCAGTGCGCAAACGCTTAAAGGCAAGCTCACAGCTAACTCCCAAAGACAAGTGCAGCATGCAGCCTCTTCTATTCGTCCGGTCTTTCCGACTGAAGCCAGTAGACTGAAGTTCCAAGGCTGGGCTGTTGGCTGCTTGGTGCCAACGAACTCTCACAAGTGCATCCTTGTGGTCTACTTGAAAGTACTGACACATGCGTGCCGTCAGACTGCCAATGGATGGGAGGGTCTTGGGATCCAGCTCTGCCGCTGATTTCTTCAGCTCTGCAATGACACGGCTTGCCACACTGTGGTCACCAAGTTCACAAATCAATTCAGGCACAACAACCACATCGTCAGGCTTCGTCGTGCTGCCAAGCTCATGACCCTTTCTGCCATAAATGATTCGCATAGCGGGCCGCACGAGGGTAGAACGAGGATCAAAGGAGGCTGTGTTGCGCCCATGCAAACCTTTGATGCCCATGGCAGCTTTCTGGGCTTTGCCAAGCTCAGCTCCCGGATGGTACCGAGGGTCATCATTGAGTTTCTGTAAGCGCTTGTCCTCATCATACCCAGGGCGTGGTAAGGGCTGCAAAGAGCCATCACGGCTTTCAGGCTTCGGCTTCTCCCTCTGTTCCCAACGACTTCGTGGCCGATCCTCACCCCTGTCGAACCTATCATCTGTTCTCTCGCTCCTGTCCGTTCTTTCGATTCTCTCGATTCTATCTTCTGCTTCCTCCCTTCGGCTCCAGCGCGGCATCTCACTCCGCCTGCTTCGGCTGGCAGTTGCTACAGGCCGCCGGCTATCACTGCGCCTCCTTTGCTTCCGGCGGCTTCTCCGGGAGCGGGAACGGAGACTGTCCATGGGAGGCGGTTTCTAAGCTCAGGCTGAGCCAGACTCGAGCCAGATAGGCTGAGCCAAGCGCTTTGCTCAACAGAATCAAGCTCTGAACTGTAGACAGCCGGTATATTTTTGATTTAACATTATTTAACCATATTGAGGTGTGCTCAGACTTCTTTACTTTGAGATGGCGTCAACTTTCAAGCCATGGCTCTGACTGCACGGAGAGATAAAAAAAAATAAGGGAAAGGTTACACTTGCTCCAACCAGGCACCCTGACTGCGCTACTAAGCTGCAGCACTGCCACCAGGACCCTGCAAAGCTTTGCGTTTTTCGGGGCTGCCATCACACGCGCGACAAATACAGTATCTTTTGTGCAAATGAGTAAACCCCAAATCAACGATACATATATATATATATATGTATATATAATGAAACTAATCTAATCTCTGTAGTTTCTCTGCCTGAGGCTGCTGGGCAAAGCAACCTAAGGTTCAGTCGTTTAGGGGCTTAGCACTTTGCTTGCCGGAATCCAATTTCAGCTGAGAGTCCCGCCATCAGCGTCATGCTTGCATTGACCGGGGGGTAGGCCACTTGAGCCACCCGCTGAATTATCAAATGAATCTGACAAATAGTCTTGCCCAAGAATCTTGGTATGACCTTTTCTGCAAAGCTTGTCTATCAGGCTATCACTCCAAGCCTATCTTGGGGATTCAACCTGATTCAACCTTGAAAGATCTTTCTTAGACTGGATCATTGATCATTACCAACATGACGGAGCACAAACCTTTCCTTTGAACTAATGGAATGCACACCCACTGCAGCTTAGCCTCGCCTTCACTGACACCAATAAGCTTCTCTTGCTCCTCAAAGTAGATTTAGCTCCAGAAATCGATTCCTCTTCAATTTCAAGTGGACATGAAGTGAAAACTTTCCTCCTCCTGTTGACCAGCATGTGCAGAAGCCGCCACAGCCTGTGGAGCCCACTGCCATGCATCAAACAAGTCCTGGCGAAGCACGACGCACTCTCTGTTTTCTCCGCTTCATGGGCACAAGACACAGCTTCTGCATTTCATGGGCACCTCTGCGTAAAGGCCTTCCACCTCCATACCGCGCGTTATGGCACCAGGAGGGGCAGCCTGAAAATGCGATCACCGATTAAAGGGGACTCGAGGGGACTCGAAGACTCCAAAGGTTCGATTGACTCCATTGTCACTAGTCTTCCACTAGTAGCTTCTTGTTACTAGTAAGAATGCTCCTAGTAGCGATGCCAGGAGCCCCTAGTAGCGTCCTTGC